TAACCTTCCCAGACTAACCCATTTGCCAGGTGGGTCCCTTTGCCCTCACGGAGCACTGGAGCAAGTTATATCTGAGCTGCAAGCAGACCCCTCTTATCTAGCTCCCAGACACATTTGAACTCTTCCACCTGAAATGGGTACTGACTGGGACAACTGATCTGGACCCTTAAACCTGGCAGACTACCCAAGGACTATTCAAAGGGGCATCCAGGTGTATGGTTGAGGAAAGGTTTGAACTATATAAAACTGTATATATCCCCACCTGCAACATTGAACTCTGAGGAGTCCCCACCTACTCACTCCAAGGTTTGGAGGTGTGGAGTCCAGATTCTTGGGCATCTCCAAGAATGGGCATCTTCCGAGAGAAGTGGAGGGGGAAAGGGCTGGTGCTGCTCTGTGCTGACTGTGGCACAGGTGTGAGGAGAAGAAAATCAGCTCAGGGGACAGCAATACAACAACAGTGGCATCCTGAGCTGCAAACTGATGCCATTCCAGCCCCGTCTCTCTGGGCAAACAGAGGTTCTGGACAGCAGCCACAGGCAAAATGCAGATAACTTTCATAAGTAAAGCACCAGTACTCAGGGTCTAATACACTGAGATAAAGGCAGTGGGCGGGCAGAGGCTAGAATTGACACCTGAGTGTAAACTGCTATTTGTCTGCTGCCCTGAACTGAATGCAACCTCGGACTTGCAGAGAAATCTAGCAGGACAGAAGCCTAATTTAAGCACAGAAGACCCCCCTGCCTAACTCAGATTTCTGGCTGATTTTGCCAGTGGTAAACCCCGGGAGCAGTGGCCTACTGGAGTGAAAAGGGTCACAGACCTGGGGGATTACAAGTGACTTGGGGCAAGGTGGGGAAGGAGGTATTAACCTTCCCAGACTAACCCATTTGCCGGGTGGGTCCCTTTACCCTCTAGAAGCAGGGTGGGCCCAAAACTGCTTGCTAGAGTTGCACACCTCATGGGCGGCAGAGGAGATCCCTGACCCAGCCTCCTGCTCTGGGCAGGCCCAGAACTGCTTGCTAGTGCCACAGGTGTCCCATGGGCAGTGGCAGAGGAGTCCTCCATTCCAGGTAGACCCAAAACAGCTTGCTAGAGACATGCACACCCCACAGGGGCCAGGGGAGGAGTTCCCTGCTCCAGGCTCCCAAGCTGGGTGGGCCTAGAACTGCTTGCTAGAGCCATGCACGCCCTACAGGTGGTGGTGGAGGGGTCTACCACTCTGGGCGGGCCCAGAACTGTTTGCTAGAGCCATGTATGTCCCACAGACGGAGGTGGAGGAATTCCCACTCCA